GAACTGGCCAGACAATTAGCAGCCAAACTTACCTTGTTGTTGTGCTTAGTCTCTTTCCGACGGGTATCGGATGTTCGGGCTTTCGACGTGGACGGATTTACGATAACGCCCGTCGGTGTTACGTTTTTGATATCCCGAAGGACTAAGACGGACTCCAAATCCGTGTCCTACCCGTTTTTTCCGGCGGTTCCTCGTCTTTGTGTCGTCTCCACCTTACTCCGTTACGTGGAGGTTACGGCGCCGCTTCGGGCTACCGGATCGGGACAACTGTTAATCTCGTATACCAGACCATACAAACCAGTGACCACTACTACGTTAGCTAGATGGATACGATGGCTGCTGTCACTAGCCGGGATAGATGCTAGTTTCGGGGCCCATTCGGTTCGAGGGGCGGCGGCTTCTAAGGCCTTCTCGGCGGGTGCCTCCCTTGCGGACATTCTACGTACAGCGGATTGGACCAGAGAGAATACCTTTAGGGTGTTTTACTTTCGCCAATCATCACACGCGTCCTTAGCGTTTTTACCCCAGCGTTAAAAATGCAAAATAGGAAGCCTCCTGTCATGTAATAAAATTGTAGATTATGCTAGCGTAGTGTACAGATAATCTTAATTTTAATAATGACAGGAGGCGAGTATTTTCCCCCCCTTTTTTCTTGGTCATTCCCTCCCTATACTCTGAGGTTTCACACACTATTTCAGTTAGCTATGGGTAAAAACTGGGATAAAGGACGCTTAAACCAGATGTCATTTACTATTTAGTTCAGTTATCAGATCAGACTATACCTCTCTGTGTACATAGGATTAGGTGACTGTTAGTAATGCTAACGTTGAGGTGTTACTTTTAGAATTTAGATACTACAGGAGTTTCTTGCTAGAGTTAAGACTAGACTTAAAGGTTGATATGCGGACGACAGTCGTTTTCCCACGCCTTTCACCTTTTTTCTATGTCTTTCAGCTTAATCTCACTTCATGAGACAGAAGTCGGACCCTAGACGTTTCTCTACGTTCCACAAGTTTCCACAAGTTGACAAGTTGACAAGCTATTACGTTCAAGTTTCTGCATTTACGAAAGAATTGTCGCTTTCCGGCATGATCACAACAAAGAAAGAGGAAATGGGAAGCCTGTCAGGGACTTAAATACAAGAGGTGCTGGACTCTGATTGGTTAAACTTTTTCTTTTCTGATTGATTGACTTGTGCTGCTGGAGGCATAAAGTAAAGAAAGTTTATGCAAAATACTCGCCTCCTGTCATTATTAAAATTAAGATTATCTGTACACTACGCTAGCATAATCTACAATTGGTGTTGTTTTCTGGTGCACACCCTAATGTAATGTGCTGCATGTGCTTATGACAGTAGGCAGGCCTCAATATACAGATAGTGGGCAGGCCTCAATATACAGATAGTAGGCAGGCCTCAATATACAGATAGTAGGCAGGCCTCAATATACAGATAGTGGGCAGGCCTCAATATACAGATAGTAGGCAGGCCTCAATATACAGATAGTGGGCAGGCCTCAATATACAGATAGTGGGCAGGCCTCAATATACAGATAGTGGGCAGGCCTCAATATACAGATAGTGGGCAGGCCTCAATATACAGATAGTGGGCAGGCCTTAATATACAGGTAGTGGGCAGGCCTTCATATACAGATAGTGAGCAGGCCTTCATATACAGATAGTAGGCAGGCCTCAATATACAGATAGTGGGCAGGCCTCAATATACAGATAGTGGGCAGGCCTTAATATACAGGTAGTGGGCAGGCCTCAATATACAGATAGTGGGCAGGCCTCAATATACAGATAGTAGGCAGGCCTTAATATACAGGTAGTGGGCAGGCCTCAATATACAGATAGTAGGCAGGCCTTAATATACAGGTAGTGGGCAGGCCTCAATATACAGATAGTGGGCAGGCCTTAATATACAGGTAGTGGGCAGGCCTCAATATACAGATAGTGGGCAGGCCTTAATATACAGGTAGTGGGCAGGCCTTAATATACAGATAGTAGGCAGGCCTCAATATACAGATAGTGGGCAGGTCTTCATATACAGGTAGTGGGCAGGCCTTAATATACAGGTAGTAGGCAGACCTTCATATACAGATAGTGGGCAGGCCTTAATATACAGGTAGTAGGCAGGCCTTCATATACAGATAGTGGGCAGGCGTTCATATACAGATAGTGGGCAGGCCTTAATATACAGGTAGCGGGCAGGCCTTAATATACAGGTAGTAGGCAGGCCTCAATATACAGATAGTGGGCAGGCCTCAATATACAGATAGTGGGCAGGCCTCAATATACAGATAGTAGGCAGGCCTCAATATAGAGATAGTGGGCAGGCCTTAATATACAGGTAGTGGGCAGGCCTTCATATACAGATAGTGAGCAGGCCTTCATATACAGATAGTAGGCAGGCCTCAATATACAGATAGTGGGCAGGCCTCAATATACAGATAGTAGGCAGGCCTCAATATACAGGTAGTGGGCAGGCCTCAATATACAGATAGTAGGCAGGCCTTAATATACAGGTAGTGAGCAGGCCTCAATATACAGATAGTGGGCAGGCCTTAATATACAGGTAGTGGGCAGGCCTCAATATACAGATAGTGGGCAGGCCTTAATATACAGGTAGTGGTGGGCAGGCCTTAATATACAGATAGTAGGCAGGCCTCAATATACAGATAGCGGGCAGGTCTTCATATACAGTGGGCAGGCTCCATTATACAGGTGGTAGTAGACAGGCCTTCATATACAGATAGTGGGCAGGCCTTAATATAGTTGCAGTAGTAAGCAGGCCTTCATATACAGATAGTGGCATGCTCATATACAGTGGGCAAGGCCTGGCCATACAGCAGTAGTGGCATATCAGGTTTGGTCGGGCGGCCGTCCAGGGTAGATGGAACGTGGCATCTGGGGCCAAAAATGCATTTTATAAGGGTAGCCAAAGTGGTTGTGACAAAGGCATTAGTACTGATAAAGCTTGGGAAAGCAATGAGGCCTTATAATATATAATGATGTTTGGAATCCCCAGTCCATCCTTTTTGGAATGAAGCCACAGTAATTGCTGCGGCAACTATGGAGGCTTTTTCTTCCAAACAGGAGCATTTATGAGCATTTAGAACTGTTTAAGGAGTTTATTTGGGAGGGCAATGGGGATTGTTCAGAAGAGGTATAAAATGTGCAGCCACGACACCTCCACACCCCACCCCTCCATTTATGCAACTGGTTCTCTAGTTTGTGAAGCAGCGTTTTATGGTTTTCTTGTGTCAACAGTATGGCAAAAGCCACTTCACCACTGGGGTTTGGAGGGGACTACTTGACAGCCTTTTAACCTGTGACTATGGCCCCTGCAGTAGATCTGGCTAAAATACTTCAGACAGGCTCTGTTCATGCAATTGGAACTATATGGTTCGTTTACCGAACAACTACATGAATAGAAATCACCTTGGAACTTGTTAACACCTATTAACAACTTGGAACGTTTCTCACCACAGTGTTCTAATTTTTCTTCTGGGTGGTCGTGATTCCTATGAACAACTACAAGGTGGCGGCCATCTTGTTCACATGAACGCAGGTAGCGGTGTTTGGGCAAGAATCTCATTGAACTGAAATCAGATACAGAAACTTCCGAACACCGCTAAACTTCCATCATCGCACGCATTAGTTTCTATTCAGCTTAGAAGGGCACTGTTCGGTGAGATCATTCGTCTGGATGAAGGGAACATTGTGTCAGGAGGGGTTTTAGTCTTGATGCTAACAGTTTGGCATATAATTTGAGATCTGTGTATAGCAGCGTTATGGATACAGGTTTGTGCGTTCAGTGGGTGATTTACCTGGCTTAGGCGGGGTTATTATATGGGCTTCCAACATTTCCTGTGGAGTAAGTCCTGTATCTATGATATGGTTGTAGAGTTTGGTGAGATAAGGGGTAAAAGGAGTTCGCATTTAATGTAATAATAATTGGAGAACCCGTCAGGGCCAGGTGCTTTATGTTTCGAGAGTGAGAGGATTGCAGATCTGACCTCATCTTCGGTGAACTGGCTATCTACCTATGTTACCTGTTACCTATGACCTCACCCCAGACACACTAGAGGACAAACCGGTAACAGAAAAAGGCATCTATAAAATGCTCCAAGACCTAAGATCCACAATTCAGAAGGATTACTTCATCCACAAAGACCTCGCAGATATGGGGGATAGGACAAAGCCACCCTTCAAGGCAAGAAACTGGAGGGTGGGTTTACAAGTGGAAATTTTGCATGTGTGTGTGAATGTGTGTCTGTCAGTATATTTCTGTGTGTCAGTATATCTGTCAGTGTGTGTCTGTAAATGTATATCAATATGTCTGTCAGCATGTCTGTCAGTGTGTGTGACTGTGTGTTTGTCAGTATGTCAGTGTGTGCATGTCAATATGTCTGTTAGTGTGTGTGTCAGTATGTCTGTTTGTGTGTCTGTGAATGTGTGTCAATATGACTGTCAGAATGTCTGTCAGTATATGTGTGTGTGTCAGTATGTCTGTCAGTGTACGTGTCTGTGTTTGTGTCAGCATGTCTGTCAGTCTGTGTGTGTGTGTGTGTATGTGCATGTCTGTATAAGTATGTCTGTATGTGTCAGTATGTATGTATGTGTGTTTAAGTCTTTCAGTGAATGTGTTAGCATGTCTTTGTGTGTATCTGTATGTAGTCAGTGCGTGTATCTTTATCTGCAAGGGTGTCAGAATATGTATATGTGTGTCTGTGTATCTGCATGTGTATCATGCTCCTGCATTGAAACGTCAAAAGTACATACAAACACATCTCTGTGTTAAACACAAAAGTTATATATAAACAAACCCCTGCATTCAAAAACCAACACTGCACATAAATACATGTTTGCATTCAAATGTCAACACCACATACAAACACACCCCTAGATTTACACAAATATACACCATACAAAAATATGCTTACAGCCAAACACACAAACACTGCTCAGTGCTAAATACAATCCTGCAAACATGGGTAAATGGTTGAGCCTCAGCTGTCAATGCAATGTTGGAGTTGCACAACAAATGGGAATCTACCTTTTGGTCCACTTTAGTGCCACCACTGCATTGCGGTGGAGTATGTGATTGCATGTCAGGGAGTGGGAGGGAGAGGCGGGGTACAAGGGGCCCAAGCAAATGCTTTGCCCAGGGTCCAATCAATATTAAAGACGGCCCTTTGTAAATCGGTCAAAATAAGTTATGTGGTAGAATAATGTAAAAAAATCCATGATTATTGACTGATGATAATCTGAGCATGTCATGGGTGAGGAGTAGATTAAACTAACAGTCACATTATTTTGTTATTCTTTATAAATAATTATTCTGTCTGTATTAGAACAGTGAATGTTACACTCTTCAGTGTAATTTTTGTTTGACCACATTCATAGCTAATCACATGTATAGATCTGATATTTTAAGAGGATTGGCTGTGTTAATTTTTTCTTCACTCTCATAGTCATTCTTTGGGGTAAATGCCCCAATTATACCCCAATTTTTTTTTTAGCTAATTCTCACTTTTTTTTTACTGATATAATCAAGATTACTCTGTTAATTGGGTAGATTTAGAGGAGAAGTACTTTTGGTTAAGAAATTAGAAACATTTAACTATATGTAAAAAACAGTTTGTTGCAGTTAAAGGACCACTATAGTGCCAGGAAAACATACTCGTTTTCCTGGCACTATAGTGCCCTGAGGGTGCCCCCACCCTCAGGGTCCCACTCCTGCCGGGCTGGATGGCGAGGAAAGGGTTAAATCTTACTT